CGAAACCATGTTTTTTGATTATTCGAGTTTCGAATATTATTCGAAAATGGAAGAACTCCGAATATCGAATTTCGAATACGAATATATTCAAATGTTTTATTCGAATGATCGAATTTCTATTCGATTCGGACCCAAGTATAGTGTAAAGCATGTTGGGGCTTCTTTGCTTCCCGGTTCTAAAAAGCACTTGCTCCGGTAACCGATAAAAGCCAATACATTGGTGGAGCTGGGTGGAGCAAGCTAATAGTAAATATCTCCACCATTTTTGAAAACTGGTTAGTTTTTTCGCCCAGTAACCTATATACCATTCGAAAGCTCAGGAAAAGGGGTTCGACCTAGACCGTCGACTTCTTTCTAGCCCCCCTCTACCGAGAGATACATCGCAATTTATCTGAAAACATGGTCATTTTCAACAGCAGATTTCTGCCAAATGAAGACCTAGTCACTGCTGATTATCTATCTATGTTAAAGAGCAAGTCTTCATTAACAAACGTAGACCGTCGAATTTCTCGTAGCAGTCATTTGGAGAGCAGAAAGTGAGGACACAAAATCAATTAATTTTTGAAGCACATAAAATCCCTCATATCTCGCGGCACAGAAGAACTAGAAAAAAGCCGACGGTCTATGTCGATTCTCCATGATCTCAGCTTTCGAATGGTGTAAAGCATGTTGGGGCTTCTTTGCTTCCCGGTTCTAAGCACTTGCTCCGGTGACCCATAAAAGCCAACACATTGTATAAGACGTCCCGAAAGTTCTTGCGCACGATGTTCAAAATTCATAACTTCTGATTTTTCCAATTGATTTGACTGCTTCTATTTTCGTATGAAATAGTAAGTCACGTTATAATGACATCTTATCTGCTTACTAATGGTCATCTGTTGCATATATAGGAGCGATAGAAGAAAATTGGTCAAAACTTGAATTTTCTGTGTAGGGTCATGAAAATCGGAGACTTGCAACAAAAATCGGAGCAGTCAGTACTGTAGGTTCTTTCACCAGCTCTTTCTAACAGTGCAAAGTTTGCGCTGATTGAGGGTCTCTATGAAAAGTTATGACTTTCGAGCAAGCAATACAAAACGGCGAATTTGGTTTATTTTGGCATTTTTCAGGGAAATCATAACTTTCCATGTACACGCTCAATCGGCACAAACCTTGCACTGTTAGAGAGAGCTGGTGAAAGAACTTACAATACTGACTGCACCGATTTTCGTTGCAAGTCTCCGATTTTTTATGACCCTACACAGAAAATTCAAATTTTGACCATTTTTCTTCTATCGCTCCTATCTATGCAACAGATGACCATTACTAAGCACTGAGATGTCATTATGAAGAGCATGACTTACCCTTTCACATAAAAGTAAAAGCAGTCAAATCGGTTGGAAAAATCAGAAGTTATGAATTTTTGAAAATCGTGCGCAAAAACTTTTGGGACGACCTAATAAGAGCGAGGTGAAGCAAGTTAATAGTAAAAAATGTGCTGTGGATTGACATCGTTATCAGCAGTAACGGGAACATGAGCGAACGCATCTATTTAAGCGTGCTTATCGTTGTTATATGTTTATGTTTTTTTGGTAAAAAATGCGCTTTTAATTGGCAGTTATGCCATCATTATTAGCACACACTCGAAAAACTATGGGAGATTGGTGAATTTCCACACCTTCACACAAAAACCCGCCATTTCTGGAATCTATACTCTGCAAACCTAGTGCAGAAGAAGGTCACTTTCGTAAAAACGCTCTAGACGCACCTTACCTAATTTGTAGAGAATGGTTGGTTTCAATGAATCAAAAACTTTAAGACATTCAGAAGAATAACATGTTATTGAAATATCTCTCAATGTTTTGGAAAGGTTGGCAGTTTGACGAGGAAGCGGCAGGCAGAATACTTTACAAATCGCAGATGACTCGCATGTGTTCCAGTTCAACAGCGAGGCAGAAAGAATCTTACGCCGACGAAAATGTTGTCGACATTGATACAGAGTTGACAATTGAACGAAACTCTCTGATTACCTACATAAGGAATCCAAGCAGATTGCCTAGTTTTAAGGAGGAAATGTCCAGGAAGTCCATTGCTGATCTTCAGGTTGCTGATTTCAAGGCTGCTAAATTCACAAACATGGATATGAACAAAAGGAAGGTGTTAGTACAAAGCATTGTTACTGCTCTTAGATCCCGAATGGAGTGCGAACCCAACTCTGTGCTTTATGCTTTTGGAAGTTATTCGCCTTGTGACATTATGACATATGATATTGAAAAAAAAACCAACGCGCAGCATAGTATCTACTTTTTTCGGCCATTCCGCGATGCTGTTAAAGAAGAAGTTGAGCAGCTTTCTTATCAGTTAACAGAACGCATGCCAGAGGAGGTGAAGCCAGAGTTCGACAGGGCCCAAAAAAGTATGCAGTATTTCCTTCCCGTGTTGCGAAAGCATATGCGATCTGGCTCTTTCCCTATTACTTACCGCAAAATTCTGATGGACTTACTAGCAAAGCTAGTTTCCATTCCGACTAGCACGGCAGAGGTGGAAAAAGAAATTTTCTATCTACTCTGTTATCAGAACACAACGCAGAAGTCGTACAACGATGGAGCATCTAAACAATTACTTAAGGTTTGTCAACCTTCTACTAAACACATTGTTATCTAAAAACTTCATTTAAAGGATTGGTATAAGTGGAGACAGGCTGTTACCGTATGACTTTTTGAAATATTCTAAAAGATGGTATGAAGAAAATGGTCACCTACCTGCTGAATTTCCTGGTGCTACCAGAGGGCCAGGGAAAAAATCACAAAAGCGCTTAGAAGAAAAAGAAAGTTTCAAATCCATTTTCGACTCAGAACGCTTTTGCACGCAATTCTACTTCTACTCCGATGAGCTTTTGGAGGAAGAAGAAGATATTTCAGGCAGCGAACTTGTTGTCTCTGACGTTAACGATAGTGATATTGATGATGACGAATAGTCAATTATTTTAAATTTTTTAATTTCTTTTAAAATTTTTGAAAATTTTTTCAATTTGTGCCTAAATAAGGTACAAATTAGAGCTCTTCATACCACGCTTTTTTACATTTCTCTCTTCCTCTCCCCCCCCCCCCTAGACTCACACAACCCCTTCACCATGGAAGGTCGGGAACAGCCGAGACCCCCTTCACCTGGAGAGAGCCCGACTCCCCCTATCGCACCTATGATTAGCTCAAAAGTTAAGGTAGGGGGATAATCGGCTCCCACTGTCGCACCTTTGATCTTGATTATGGCTTACCACATGGTCAAAGGATATGTGTATCTAACAATCTTACTACAACTTTAAAGCGCAATTTGGAAGTGATAAATTGATTTTAATTCAATTTTAATCAATCAGGTGTTATTCAATCAAGTGATTTTTTTAGAAGTTTAGCTATAGGGCGTAAAAACCATCATCGCTCGTGGGTACCCAGTGAAGGGTGTATGTCGAAAGGCGCGCGTTTGGGCGGGCGTCATTGCCAAAAGGGTTTTGTACTCTACAAAAGCGAGGTTTCCAAACTTCTAAAGTTTTGTCATCATATCAGAAATAGTAACAGAGGATTACTGGTTGAATCCCGGAAGTACCAAACCAATTTCGAGTTCTTTCCTGGTTTTTCTGATTAGTAACAATCGATCAATACGCGCCATTCGACCGTCTCCCCCCAGTGAATGAGGCAGCGCGCGCGCGATGCGAGCGAAGGGGATTGCACTCGAGCGCAAAAGGCTAGCCTTTTCTTAGAATCAATGAGTTGATTGATCCCGTTTAACATTCTATTCTCTTGATAAGCATTAGATTCCGTGTTTAAGCGATTACTAATCATTTCAGATGGTGGCGTTGTACGAATGAAGAGTGTTCAAACAGAGACGGTGAAAGCGCATCTTTTGCTTGTGCATAGCAGAAAATCATCCATTCCAAGTTGAGGAGACTCGGGCACGCTTTGCACAAGTATGATGAGAAAGTGTTACTTGTTCTTTACCGCATTTGGTTGGTCTACTACTAGAGATCAAAGGAGAAACATGTTCAGGTTGTTAAACAACGTGTGCAATTCTCAAGTCTCCTAATCTCAGAATGGCGATATAATCACAGTGTTAAACTCAAGTCACAGTCATACAAGGCCGCATTACCTTTATAACCGTTTTGGAAGGAAAGAAGTTTCAAGGTTTCATGCTGCTCATATCGCGCGAATATGGAAAACATATTCCAACATGTAATTAAGTACGAAATGAAGTTCGACAGATAAGCAAGAGAACCCTTTGTAAAATCAGCAAAATTCTGTAAAGGAGCGATATTCAATCCTAACAGATCTAACAGCAAGCCCTTTCGAACCGGGTCTAACATCGCTGCCTGCGTCGCGTGTTTGCAGTCTCACCTCGTGGGTACCCACGACCGATGGTGGTTGGTATGCCCTATACCAGTGGCGTACCGAAGGGGGGCGGCCCTTCCCCCGAGAATGGGTCGCGAAATTTTTGAAAGTTACTTAAATGTGCCATAAAAATGTGTAGAGGACTTGTTTTTACTTGTAAATAATTAAAATTATTTTTAAAAAATTTTCAAAATTCAAATTAGCCCTGTAAAAAAATTTTTTCGGGGGCGTGGCTGACGCCACGCCCCTTTTTTCAGAAATTTTGGAGTCAGGGACCCGGAAAATTTTTGGGAAGTATCCCAGAAATTTTTTCGGAGTGCGTGGCTGACGCCACGCACCTTCATTAGAAAAAAAATTTTTGTCGCGCCTCTCCCCCCCCCCCTCCCGAGCCGAAATCCTGGGTACGCCACTGCCCTGTACATAAGGTCATAATGTCTTTTGTCACGAGAAAATTCCATGTAATGAGTATGTGATCGTAAAGGTGTGATAGTCAGTAGTTATACCCAATTATGGCAAACCATTGCTGAAAAACAGTTACTCAAATTATAGAGCTTTGAAATTGCATGTCAAAACGAAATTAATTATCATCCAGCCTGATAGATATATGAGCAACAAGAATTGGCAAATGAACAATACTTACAGATGAGCCGCTTTATGTAAATCTGGAGTCCTTGAACTTGCCACTAATAATAAATCCTCATCGCAATGGATACTATAGACAGAATTACGACAGTGCTGGATGGAAGCGCATAGCAAGACTGCTGAAGCAAAATCATACGGTAAATTTGACAAGATCATTTGTGAAAGCTTTGAATTTTTCGTTTAAGAGGATCAATTTTGTCAAATGATTTAAGATTAGAGACTTGAAATGAACAGAAATTTTAAGGTTTTGGATCATTATACGAGATACGTGATTTTATGTGATGCATTTTCTGCAGCATTCATCGGCCAACTGGATTACGGAATTGTATTTGAGCTTATTCGATATGCTCACGCACCCGATCGTAGAGAACAGGTGTTATGCATTACTGTTACTTTTAGTCAAAGCAGGTTCTCAAAAAAATGTTTGGGTCTCTGGTCAGTAAATCCCTTAGCGACAATAAAATTGAATCAAAACAAAAGAATGTTTTTGCGAAGCAAACAAACGCAACGCATTTGTGAGGAGCATTTTCAATAGAGCAGGACATGCTCCAAAGGAAAGGCTTTGAAAATTTGCAAAGTGATGATTTACGCGAAGTTTGAAGCCGAAGTTCATTAAGAAGGATTGCAAGTTCCTCTCTCTTTATCAAAAGTCTGCAAACTACTTGCTTCATCATGTAGCAGACAATAACTCCAACTATGTACACACTTGCTATTTTTTTCCGTGCTGCCCAAGAACCGAATGACCTCGATAATTGGAAAGTTCGCCCGTTGTGCAGCCTCAAGCATGGGGTGAGGAGCTCGAGAAGGAGGAGGAGGGGGGGGGGTGTTGTATTAGGTACATAGAAATGGCAGTCCCACGATTTTGGTTCGGGAGGGGGGGGGCAAAACTTTATTGGAATATTGTTGCGCGGCATTGTTACACGCTCCGCTCTAAAAAATTTTCTACGAGGCTAATTTGAATAAAAAATTTTTTAATTTGAATCAAGAAAATCAAAACATTGAATACATCCAAATATAAACAAGCCACATGCACATTTTCATAACTAATATGAGTAATTTCATGAATTTCGCTACCCTTCTTCGGGGTGGGCGCATTCCCCCCTCCCAAGTTTTCTGCAAAAGCCTCACGCGCAGGGGTGTATCTTGATGGCTGAAGCTACTTTCCTCTTTTTCAGTTTCTGTTTAAGGTTTGCCAAGCACGTTTTTAAGAGACTTATCCCATGAAGCTTGAGGAGAAAAATACTTTCAAATATCAAGTTTTAGCTTAGTTTTAGCGTTTTATCTCGCTTCCCGGCTTTTAGCCTTTTCGGAGCCTTCCCGCCATGCTGAATCCATATCTGAGCTTTGCAGCTCATGAAGGTAGCAAAAATAAGTTTTTCTACAGTTTTCCATGTAATTCGATCCGATTATAGCAAATTTACAACAAAGTACGATTATTGCTGACACTTTGACAGTTTCTCAGTTGCAAATTCTTGAACACTTCCAAGCTTCTCTAATAAATGCACTTCTTCGAACACTTAAAGGGAATGAGTCTAAGATGTGCCGGTAAAAAAGAGACAAGATTGAAGGTCATATCTCTTGCCATTTTGTGAGGGCACTCGTGAACTCATGGAAAGAACCTACCCTTCAAAGGGGGTGTAGCCTCCTTAAAGGCAGTGTACAGGCAAATCTAAGCGTATGGGTTTTTGCTGGAAACTGATGAGGAGGTTCTAGCTTAGACACTGCTCAAATCGCAGCGCAAATAATTTATTCACGGCTGAGAAATCCGTCCGCAAACACTCCGCGGCGGCGCCGTGACCGCAATGCTTAGGATGGATCCCTGCGCGAACGTAGTGTTAAAGTGAGCGAGTCGCCTTCGGTTTACGGTCACGGCGCAAGCGCGGGGTTTTTGGGGACGGAATACTGAATAATATGAACGAATTAATCGAATACAGGCCTTTTCTTGTTTCGACTATTCGAATAATCGAATGATTGGACTTTCTCAAACAGAAGATATCGAGAAAGTACAATTATTCGATTATTCGAATAGTCGAATAAAAGAAAACGGCCTGTATTTGAATAATTCGTTCATTCGACGATTTGAAGAAATGCGTTATTTGAATATTCGTTCATTCGAGGAGTTTTAAAAGACAGTTATTCGAACATTCGAATATTCGAGCCAACTTGAAAGACTGTTATTCGAATATTCGACTAATGAAGATCATTCCCTCGAATACTTGATGTTAAAAGAAAACTTCAGCTGTTCTACATTGAGTGCAGGTGTCCGCGATCGGTCCCATACAAATGAGTGATTATATAACAAAATGGCTAGCAAAGCCCTTTTGTTAAGGCAATCGCGAGTCATTCCAGAGCTCAGTGATGACAAGCCTTATGCATAAGTCATTTGGAGTGGTGAACCATCTTCTGGAAATCACGTCTGCAATACGAGATGCAATAGCATGCGAAAATACCTTAGAGCTCTAAATTGGGTGAAGAATCAAAGCCGTCATTACGCGCCGCTTTGGCGGATCGCTGGTCCTAAAACAGCTTGCGTAAGCATCTAAAGGACAACAGTCCTTTGAGGGTTGGGCCAGACTGCGCGGCGTATGCGACGTACGCAGCGTACGCCGCTTCCCCGCGAAGTCTGGCTCAACCCTGAGACAGCACGTGTTGGCAACGTTCATTCCTTCACCCCGAGATCTCCACTTGCCTTGCCAGCCTAATCACCGCTCGCATGTCAAAATACCTGAAAGATACAGGCCCCGTAAGATCCAATTGCCCACGCATCGCTTTGAACATCAACGCGCGGCGCGGCTGGAAACGTTTGGTCCCAAAGCCTACAGACTTTTTGCGATCGACAGTGAGCGCGCTCCCTTTCCACACATATTTTTTTAAACTTTTGAAGGGAGTTTTCGTCAATATATACCTTGCATTGACGAGAACAACATGAAATGAAGAAAGATCTCTTGGAATGTATTGAACGCCGACAGTCGTTCGCGACGACCGCTCGCTTGCGCTGGTGTTCAAGGTACGGCGCGGGCAATTAGATTTTACGGCTCCTATACGTTAATCGGCGTAAGGCCAAAGCAAGGCGGTCGCGAGAACCTGAGCCGTTTGACTTGTGGCGGAGGCCTGTAAGTCAGTCACCATACCATCGGCTGCCTTTATATTCAGGAGGTGTAAAAAACTAATGTTTAAATGTTACAAAATTCATAGAGGAATAATATTTTAAGTAGGCGTGTAATTGAACAATAATCATTTTGAACCTGAGTAAAAGGTGTAGAAGCTCCCTCAAAAAAGGTACATACCTCAAAATTACAGCTAGAACAGCTTTCTTTATCTTATTTTCGACCAATTGGGTCGTACTGTCAAACTGACAGTTTCTCTTCTCAGCTCATTTACAACTCATAATTCTCCTTTTTCTAAACTTCCGACCAACAATACTAACCTTTGTTCACAGTCTTCAACATTATCCTTTACGACCAATTGGGTCGAGCTGTCAAACGGACAGCTTTCTTTATCTTATTTTCGACCAATTGGGTCGTACTGTCAAACTGACAGTTTCTCTTCTTAGCTCATTTACAACTCATAATTCTCCTTTTTCTAAACTTCCGACCAACAATCGTACGGTCATTACAACGGTTCCATTCTTTTCCTCATCATCAACTATTTTCCATCAATGTTTGTGCTGTCAACATTACTATAACATTTCACTATCGTCCTACCTATTATTCAACTATTTAATAATCTTCATAATTCCAAAAATTACATAACAAAATATGCGGCAAATAAACGACTGCAGTTACAACATGTTAACCTTACGCATACACATCAAACACCAATGTGTTTTCCTTTTTTTCTTTTTTATTATATTTACTTTTTCAATCACAAAATATATCATTAGTTTATACAAAAATTAATTCAATCATTAATTTACAATATTAATAACATTAAACATAAACTAATAATATCAATATTTTTGAATAACTTTATAATTATATATATACAAAAAATGTTGTATCTAAATTATGTCATTTTTCTAAATATCATAATCAAAACTTATTTATCAAATATATTTATCAATAACTTATTTATTAAAATAAAATAAAATAGGTAACTTTATTTTTATTTTTGTTTTATCGTAAGATATTGTTTTATTGCAAATACCTTACAAATTCTTTGATAAGAGGGCCATACCTCTTGTTCTATAAAAATAGGGGGACACCATGATGGGTGAAACCAGTGGGGATGTGGGGACATGGGGGGATACCCCCCCCCCCTGCGACTCCATGGGTCCCGTTTATTCATTTGTAAACCAAAGTTTCAAAAACTCACTAAACACAAATAGGGTCGGTCATGAACCCTGGCAGCAGCCCTGCCAAATCATTATCTCCCGCACTTCCTAGGGTAAAGACCTGCCGACTAGGAAGTTATTTAAGTGGTCTCGAAAAACTACGTCTTGCAATGCTGATAATTATTATAAACAATCATAATTTCATAAAAGTAAGGTTAACAAAATGTACACATTAGACAATTTTGGTAACGATTACAACACAACTGCATGTTGTTCAAAATGCGTCATTTGTAGACAAATGGATCACAATCCATATATCGTAACTAATTCAACAAAATTAAAAATATACACATTTTGCACAAATAACAGCAATTGCAAAAATAACAATGTCATCTATTGCATCACATGTAATGAATGCAATAAACAATATGTAGGTTTAACGACTAGAAATCTGAAAAGCAGGATAAGAGAACACTTTTATCATTCTAAAAGGAATGATATAAGTAACTTTCTAAATGATCACTTCAAAACATGCACAAATAGAAGTATTACAGTTCAAATACTAGATAGTCTGGAAAACAATAAAGACAAGAATGTCTTGGTAAGTAAAGAACTATTCTGGATCAAATTACTCAACACAGCTTATCCTTTTGGATTGAATGACAACATTAAAGGATATGGAAATATATCCAATATTGATAACCCTCTTTTACAAAAAGAAACACATCCTTACTATAATTTGAAAATAACAAAAGACAGAATACGTAGTCAATACAGGCATAAAAATAAGAATAAAGAAACACTAGATTCATTCTTAAAAACTATTAATAGTAAGAGCACACTACAAGATTTATTTCAATATATCCATTCATTGAAAAGAAGTTTTATAAAACAAGTAATTGCAGCATGTTTTGATCCCACATTTCTAATGAAAATTGAAGAAAATATAAAAATAACTACTCTTAGTATACTTTGCAAATTTATGTTCAATGGTAACAAAAAAGAAAAACAAAATATTAATTATAACAATATCAAAGTTGAATATATCCATAATATACTAGACGAAATCAATCTAAATAAAATTATCAATAATAGTTACG